CCAGTTTGACCATACTGCCCCACCTCCCTCAGGGCCACCAGGACCTCCCACCCTTTCAGCTCTTGGACAGCCCCCTCCAGCCTCAGAACTAAGGGGACATCTCCAGCTCTTTCAATGTCTTGCCCAGTAAGTCCTGTCTTCTGCCCAGTCTCCGCCCTCCCTCTCAATCCCCGCTGGCCCCTCTCATGGTCACCTTCTCAGTCTACAATCGGCTTAGGGGCTGCTACTCAGGGCTGGGCCTTTGGAGCCAAGCTTGGCTGTGGCAGGAGTCAGGTTCTGCCGCTGGGGTCCAAAAATCCCAGGTCAGAAGACTGAGAGTCTGTGGAGACAAGACGATTCCCCCCCACCTCCACCCCCATGCCCCCTTGGGGCCCCTCTCACCTGTTAGCAGGACTAGGGTCTAGGGTGCTGCTGAGACACCTCAGGGTTAAGTCCAGGAAACGGACTAAAGGGGCGTGGTTTGATGCAGGGGAGGTGTTTTCCAGCACCACGCCTCCTGCCCCAGCTGACCAAAGGCTGAGGACCTGGGACTGGTGTATGTACATACATCCTTGTCTTTATTGTTGAGTTTTGGCATAAACTATGGATCTATATGTGTGGGGAGTGTGTGTCATGTCGAATGAGGGTGTGTGTGTGTGGCTGTGTGTGTTTTGTGTTGAATGTATATTGTGTGCAGTTTTTAAAAAAAATATTTTTATTGATTTCAGAGAAGGGAGAGGGATAGAGAGATAGAAACATTAATGATGAGAGAGGATCATTGATTGGCTGCCTCCTGCACACCCCCTACTGGGGATCAAGCCCAGAACTCAGGCATTTGCCCTTGGCCGGAATCAAACCTGGGACCCTTCAGTCTGCAGGCTGATGCTCTATCCACTGAGCCAAACTGGCTAGGGCTGTTGTGTGCAGTTTATATGTGCCTATTGCTTGTGTGGCTGTTCTGAATGAGAACTGTATGTGTTCCAAGCCAAGTATGTCCAGTTGAGTAAGAATCAGGTAATAAATGTAGGGAAGGGGAGTATAGGATCAGGTTAGAATGGGTGTCCTGTGAAAACGTTGGATCAGTGAGTAGATAAAGTCAGTGGGTAAAGATTGTTTTGTTTTAATTTTAGGTTTTTTAAAATCCTCACCCAGGGATAGTTTTCCATGGATTTTAGAGAGGGTAAGACAGAGAAAAATATGTGAGAGAAACACATTTGATTGGTTGCCTCCTGCACATGCCCCAAACAGGGACTGGGCCAGGGAGGAGCCTGCAACCAAGGTACATGCACTTGACTGGAATCGA